GGTGAAAATGCCATCCATAGTTGAAAGTCATATGAATTCAGTGAAGTTTAGTTGGATGAAAATTATTTTAGTGAAGTAGGAGAATGTGTAGAGAAATCCAATGTGATAATTGATATGTCTATTCTAATTCCATCTCATTCAAGTCATCTCACTGATAGTTGTGAACTTCAATCTGTAATCGTTGTTTAAAGTTTAGCCGTATATACGTTACTCATCAACACTATCCTATTCAACAATCAATGTCTCCATAGACTGACGTCATGAATTATCTTTGCCACTTTTAGCTATTTTCAAACGTTGTTTCATGTTAGTCAGCATAATGGACAGTGGTAAATAATGGATGATTATTTGTTGTAATTATCTCACTTGTAAGTCTATAAGGTTCATGATCTCAAACACCGGTGTACCAAATTTAAACCCGACACTCATTCTAAAGTTCATTATACACAAACAGCTTACAGATATACTGAAATTTACTCAAATTCTCAAGTTATTTACATACCATTCACTTATATCTAAATCCTAAACATTGGAGGTTTATTGTGCTAGTCATAAATGTCACTGTTCAATATTTTCTCGAAGACGAGCTTCAGAAGATAACATTTGAATGTTTTGCTTTGAGTTTATTCCTCACCCTTCTTATATTCCCCTCCAAGTGGGGGGTCAATTCACAATTATTATGCAACTTTCTTTGACACATGACATGATGTTATCATCATCCTATTTTCAACAGACTATTTTATTGTTCAATTAACTATAAATGCAGTTGTACAACTCGAGCAAGAAGAAACACTTCAATCGTTGATCTGTCTTAATAATTCTTCAATGACACCATGGGTTACTTTCGTTATTTATTTACTTTCAGTATGAGTTTGTGATAACTCCGCCTGTAGCTCTTCTAGAGTTACTACCGGTTCCAAGCCCGGGTAAAGGAGGAGGGTTGTGCATGGGGTTAGCGACCCCATCTCGTAGAAAAGCTAGCTCGCTAAAAAACACTAACCAGAAAAAATAATTCAAACCATTTAAACTCTGCCCTGGGAGTTGAAGGAATAATGACGTCTCATGATGAAAGCCGAAATTCTTCGGAAGTCACGAGACCGATGCACCTTCTAACAACCAGAGCAACACTCTTTATAGGTACATGGAACGTCCGGACAATGTGGGAGACAGGAAAGGCCAGCCAAATAGCAATGGAAATGAGGAGATACAACTTGGCAGTACTCGGAATCAGCGAAACCCATTGGACACAAACTGGACAACAAAGGCTAGGTACAGGAGAGATGCTGCTGTACTCCGGTCACGAAGGGGAAAATGCTCCACACACTCAGGGAGTTGCTCTAATGCTGTCCAAAGAAGCACGAAATGCACTTGTGGGATGGGAATCTCATGGACCCAGGATAATCAAAGCATCATTCAGAACAAAGAAGCAAGGGATCACAATGAACGTTATCCAATGTTATGCACCCATCAATGATAGCAACGACGATGATAAAGATCAGTTCTATGAAAGGCTGCAATCAATTATAGCAAAGTGCTCACGAAAGGACCTCACCATCCTTATGGGAGATCTAAATGCTAAAGTTGGAGTGGACAACACAGGATATGAAGATGTAATTGGACGACATGGACTAGGAGAGAGAAATGAAAATGGGGAGAGACTTGCAAACCTATGTGCTTTCAACAAATTGGTTATAGGCGGCACAATATTCCCACACAAACGCATACACACAGCTACATGGATCTCACCGGACCATACCACAGAGAACCAGATAGATCACATCTGTATCAACAAAAAATTCCGAAGATCAATGGAAGATGTAAGAACCCGAAGAGGAGCTGACATAGCTTCAGATCACCACCTGGTTGTGGCCAAGATGAGACTGAAGCTAAAGAAAGACTGGACAACTGGACAAACAGCACTACAAAGGTTTAATACAGCCTTCCTTCGAGATACTGACAAACTCCATGAATTCAAGATAACTCTCAACAACAGGTTCCAAGCTCTACAGGATCTACTGAAAGAACAAGAAACTACTTTGGAGGACAACTGGAAAGGGATAAAAGAAGCACTAACTTCAACGTGTCAGGATGTTCTTGGTCCTAAGAAGCATCATCACAAGGAATGGATCTCTCTGGGAACCCTGGACAAAATTCAAGAAAGGAAGAACAAGAGACTAGCAATTAACAACAGCTGAACACGAGCAGAGAAAGTCAAAGCACAAGCAGACTACGCAGAAGCAAACAGGCAAGTAAAGAAAAGCATTAAAGCCGACAAGCAGAAATACATGGGAGGACTAGCAACGACGGCGGAAAAAGCTGCAAGAGAAGGGAATATGAAACAACTATATGATACAACGAAGAAATTGGCAGGGAGATATGGCAAACCAGAGAGACCAGTCAAGGACAAAGAAGGAAAGACAATCACTGAGATTCAAGGACAGAGGAAAAGATGGGCAGAATACTTTGAGGAACTGCTGAATAGACCAGCCCCATCGAATCCACCGAACATCGAAGCAGCCCACACAGACCTTCCAATAGATGTCACTCCACCAACGATCGAAGAAGTCAAGATGGCCATCAGACAAATCAAAAGTGGGAAGGCGGCAGGACCTGACAATATACCAGCAGAAGCACTGAAGTCAGACATTGAAATAACTGCAAACATGCTTCACCTTCTATTCAAAAAGATTTGGGAAGAGGAGCAAGTGCCAACGGACTGGAAAGAAGGATATCACATCAAGATACCAAAGAAAGGAGATCTGAGCAAATGTGAGAACTACAGAGGTATCAGTTTGTTATCAGTACCAGGAAAAGTTTTCAACACAGTGCTGCTGAAACGGATGAAAGACGCAGTAGACGCCGAACTAATGGATCATCAGGCTGGATTCCGTAAGGATCAGTCGTGCACAGACCAGATTGCGACACTACGGATCATCGTTGAACAATCAGTTGAGTGGAACTCATCACTATACGTCAACTTCATCGACTATGAGAAGGCGTTTGACAGCGTGGACAGGAGAACATTATGGAAACTTCTTCGACACTATGGAGTTCCTGGAAAGATTATCAACAGTATCCAGAACTCATACGATGGATTACAGTGCAAAGTGGTGCATGGAGGACAGCTGACAGATGCATTTCCAGTAAGGACCGGAGTCAGACAAGGCTGTCTACTCTCCCCATTTCTCTTCCTTCTAGTGATTGACTGGATTATGAAGAATTCGACATCTGAAGGGAAATACGGAATACAATGGACTTCTCAGAATCAATTAGATGATTTGGACTTCGCAGATGACCTAGCCCTCCTCTCTCATACACACGACCAAATGCAGATGAAGACAGCAAATGTAGCAGCAGCCTCCGCATCGATAGGTCTCCACATTCACAAAGGAAAAAGCAAGATTCTCAAATGCAACACGGAGAACACCAACCCTATCACACTTGACGGCGAAACTCTGGAAGAGGTGGAAACATTCAAGTACCTGGGGAGCATCGTTGATAAACAAGGAGGATCGGATGCAGATGTAAAGGCGAGGATTGGCAAAGCAAGGGCAGCATTTCTACAATTGAATAACATATGGAACTCAAAATAACTCTCAACCAATTTCAAGGTCAGAATCTTTAATACGAACGTCAAGGCAGTCCTACTGTATGGAGCTGAAACGTGGAGAACTAATACGGCCATCATCAGGAAGGTAGAAGTATTATAGCAACCATCCTACAATCACTTTCGATTATAGCCAATTTTGGTTAAGCCCTTTTTCATAACTTACTTAACAGACATCGTCATTTGGATAGTAACAATTTGCATATTCTTTGCACTGCTATACCACTAGAGCACATGACACTCCAGCCGAAATGTTGACTGCTTAAATATCATTCGATGACTCATACTCCTCACCATATATGTACGCACACAAATATTAATATCAGCCTTTGTTTTGCTTTGCTGTGCCCTTATTAAATTTGACTATAAATTGCCTATGTAATTGCTTGCTACTCGCTCGATCGCTCCTCGTTCGCTTCCTTCGCTTGTTTGCCTGTTCACTCGCTCGTTCATATTCGCTCAGGTGTTGTTAACTTTCTGACCTGAGTTATTCGACAATAAACTGTAGTTGCTGTTATCCTTTGTCTTCTGATTTTACGCGCCGTTAAGTTTAGAATTATAACGGTTATCGAAGTAAACGGTTAACGAATCGCGGCACTACAATATTTATAAACAGTTGTCTACGCAAAATACTCAACATCCACTGGCCGGATACTATCAGCAACAGTGTTTTATGGGAGAGGACAAACCAGCTTCCAGCTGAAGAGGAAATTAGGAAAAGACGTTGGAAGTGGATCGGACATACAGTAAGGAAATCACCAATGTGCATCACGACTCAATCCCTAACTTGGAATCCTGAAGGGAAGCGGAAAAGACGAAGGCCAAAGAACACACTACGCCGGGAAATAGAAGCCGATATGAAAACGCTGAATAGTAACTGGAAAGAACTGGAAAGGAAGGCTGAGGACAGAGTTGGATGGAGAATGCTGGTGAGCGGCCTATGCTCCTCCACAAGGGGTAACAGGCGTAAGTAAGTAAGTAAGTAGTAATGAGTTTGTGATGATAAATATATCATGAATGGATCAATGTTAGACTACCATTGAATAGGTGAAAGAACTAGACGGCCGATTCGTTCTAATACAGGACTCCTCAGCGATGCTCATGTATTCATTGTTCACTCGCTTATACAGTTCACCTATATGTCTATCACATAGAACTTAAGTCATCGATATTCACCTGTATAATTCAATTCTTCTTCTTGTTGATAAGTAATTTACTGACCTAAAATACTTTAAAATAAGCTTGTGTAGGGTCGCAAACACAAAATACATTGACCATCTTTGTTTAAAAATACCATCGATTGTGTAATTATTTTGACCATTTAAAAACCGCATTTCTCTGTCAGATACACACACACGCAGAGATTGAAAGTTACACTGCACAACACATTCACCATTTAACTATCCAATGATAATGAGAAGATATTGAGTTGACTGGTTAGTTGTTCATTCCATTTGATAATCATATCATTACTGTATGTTCAAACACAGACATTATTTAGCGAGAGGAATTCTATATAAAGAGGAACACATCATCAGAGAACAAGCAGCTATCAGAAGAAAATCAAGAAAAATGACAGATCGTCTACTGTATACGAGTAATTCTAAAACTTCAAAACCGAGAACTGAAAGAAATAAGGTTGATGTGGAGAAAGGCAAATACAGCTATTCAAAGAACTTCGACAAGACATTCAAAGAACAAGAAGATGCAATGAGTTGTTCATCAAAATCACCTGTGCATAAATCTCAATTAGAGAGTCGTCTACTAACACGTGAAGATTTGATTAATTTAGACAAAACTGAACCACATTGGAAATATATTCGAATAGGATTGTTAATTGGGTTTGGGATTCTATTTTTGGGTCTTTTAGCGGGGTGTATTGTTTACATAATTCTTGGACAAAAATGCCCATCTGTGCCCAAATTACCATTTTGGAAATCAACAGTTGGTTATTGGTTAGATGTATTTGCATTTAAAGACTCTTCTGGAGATCTAATTGGAGATTTAAACGGTAATGAGTATTAGTGTAAAACTTCTATCACTCGAATGACTCTGTTTCTATATAGGTCTCACATCTGAAGTAGATTACATCAAAACTGTAGTTGGTGCAGGATATGTGATATTGGGTCCAATTACTAAAGGATTTTACACCAATTCACACAATATGCTCGGATTAGTTGAAGATTACAAGGAGTTAGATGAGGCAGTTGGCACAATGGACGATTTTCGTGTCTTTTTAAAACGATTTCATAAAAAGGGTGTAAAAGTCATCTTGACATTCAATTTCAATGCAATATCGATCAATCATAAATGGATCCAAAAGAACAAAGTGGAATTGACATTGTTCAAAGATTCTTTCAATAAAAGAGTAATGTGCTTGTCCTACTTACATAATTTCTTCATATTTTATTTTTAATAAAGATATCACGATACGGTAAAGCGAACAATGTAGATATTGATGGTCAGAAATTTTATTCTGTATTCGGATCACCGAATGTAGATCTAGATTTAACTTCTGTCAAAACTCAAACTGAAATATATGTAAGTTTCAATGAATACATCTATGAACTCTATTTCCGATATAGAATGTGATCGACTTTTGGATGAAAGAAGGAATAGATGGAATTCTTCTGGATAATGCTGCATTTTTTAATGAAGGAAAAGAACAAACACAAAGTAACGTAAGTCTATGAAACTTCAATGATATATTTTCTGACTCTTTTTTGATGTAGGTTTGTTCTCTGAGCTAGATGGTTTGGTCATGGAGCTTTCATTGTCCTTCTGAACGACATCATCAGCACAAACTTCGGGTAGCAGTGAAGTGTTTGAATTTTTCCACATGTGATTCACAGCTTGTCCTGCGCACCTCGATGTTGATTGGTTCTTATTGACATTAAATCTTCCATTGTTTATTTCTTTGTTTTGGTTGTATCTCCTATTGATTTGATTTTTGTTACTATGTCTCTGCATAATTTTCATGATTGGTTGATAAACTGGATTGATTTCACTGTACTTGTTTATTGCCGGTTGACCTGAGTACCAAGCTTGTAAACATTCTCAGGTGTTTTTGGAATTTCCTGTGTCCGAAATTTCCACATTTTGTGCTGATGATGTCGTCCAGAAGGACGATGAAAGTTCCACAACCAAACCATCCAGCGTTGAGGACATACCTACATCAAAATCACTCACCTGAGCTACAAATCTTCTCCACCATTTTTGACTCTTGATCAACTGTTCTCTTTCCTTTTTACTCTAATTGTATATTTAGCTCAGTTCAACATGGTTGCAAAACTGTCCAAATTCTCAAATATATGGAAATGAAAGTGTGAAATTTGTTGAAGGTGTAAGACAAGAAATCAACAAATGGATTAAGGAAAGTGGAAGAGAAAAGTAAGTTCGTTAATGATCATCAACGTTGTTGAATTGGTCAGTTAAATCAAAGTGGCAATCGGAATTCCACCAGAGATAGATGCGCAGATATTATCTGCTTTAATGTAAATAATCAATGATACTTTCCACTATCTATAGTGTTGTGTTATCTCGGTAGTGTTAAAGTATCAGATAGTCAATAGTAATTCGTCTACTTAGAAGTGAATGAAACTACATTTCTTAAACAAGCAGCAGATGGTTGAATAACTTGGAAGGCTCAATGGAGGCATAACTCACTAAAAAAAATTATCCAATAACAGAATTATTAAACCCACAATAGGACGAAACTGCCGTCCAGTGATTCCAGGTTCTCCTTGGTGGTCTAGTTTCAAATGACTCACGCTGTCACAAATGATAATTTGTGTTTTCTTGTATTTATATTGAACAGTGAACCATTTAATCATTGATTATAAAATGTCTTTCTGAGTTGGTTGTTACCCAAGTCGTTGATGTTATACTTAAACTTACTGAATTTCATACAGTTTATACAGATGATCTCAGAAAAACTTGTTTTTCTATGTACAATATATTCTTCAGGTTGTTGGCTGTAAATTCAGGCGATACAGGTTGTGGTGTTGGTGATAATCCGGATCCAATGTTAATGTTCAGAGATGTGGCTGATTTGATAATCAGTCGTGAATTCGTTTTAGAAAGGGGTGGAAGTGGATCCCGACTATCCTTTGACAAAACAGAGATACAGAAATATTCTACATATTCAGACTCTGATAAAGATAAATTAGGATTGACGACAAGTACTTCAAATAATCCATCACATTCAGATATTAATCAGCTTGCATTAACATTATTATTACCAGGTATGTAAACAGTATCGAATGACAATAATTTATTTTAACAAGAGATGATAACCATAGTTACTATGTCTGACTTATTCAAAACGAAATGGAGGAACTGTTATTTGTGAAGTTCACACTTGAAACGAATTGACTAAATATGGTAATGAGTATTCGACTTGACAAACACTAGAATATGTCACGATGGATGATTATGAAAACTGATAAGTATGGTTAATTGAACGCTATTCTCGGATCTTAAGCTAGTCTCGTAATCCCTAAGCTAGAACTACACAGCAACTTGAACACGAGGGAGAAAAGGCGTAAAATATGCGCAAAGTACTTTACTCCAAAGGTTCATTCATGTACAGAAAATAAAAGGGTTTTTATAGTATTTTAGAAGTCTTTGGGTTTTCCTGAAAACTCTGGAATGCTGCTAAACATCTGGTAGCAGTATAGTAATCAGCCAATCAGAAACTCTACATGTGACTTTTCACTTTCATGATGTTTCTGCCAAAACGTCTAGTGAAACCCCTAAGCAAGAAGTCTGCAATCACTGTCTGTAATCACTCACAAATCATTGAAGCAATTAGATAGTGCAATGTGTTCAATTCACTCAATTACCATACAATATATCCTTCACCAATATTTACTTACATCTATAGGACTACCAATAATTTATTATGGAACTGAGACTGGTATCAATGGCATGGAATTACTTGCTATTCCAAAGAATTTGTATCCAAAAGGGAAATTATATAATAATGAAGAGGTAATTTTTTCTACAAAATCTCATTTACCAATGCCATGGGATTTCAGTGGGAAAAGATTTTCGGCAACATTAAATGACTCTACTTTTAATGACTATTTGAATGGTTATGAGAGCAAGGAAAACGTTGAAGTAAGTTATATTAGTGTCTTTTATACATTTATCCATTGACAACTTGTTTACATAATTTGCTGAAAATGTCTATTCAATGGAAGCTTTCAAGTATAATATAAAATAACTGACAAGTTTAATTCAATATCTGTAGTTTACTGAAGCATAGTTGCAGATGGCGTCGAGTCGCGGTTGACTCTGATCACCGCTAAATGAAGATTACGTGTGACGCATCGACTTGATTCCTTCTGTAGGCCAAAACCCAGAAGGCTGGTAATGGTCCAAATAAGATATGTTTGCGGGCGATCTCGTAGTATCAAAAGGATACCGAGACGTGCCAAAGTTACAGGCGAAACTACGGAGTGTAAGCTCGTCCGTGCAAGGTCACAGGCAACGGAGGAAAAAGTGTATTTGGTACAGTTGAACAAACGAGTACAATAAAGCAATCACTGGTACAATTGGTTATAATAATAATTGTTTCCATTATACCAATCGCCTCCTCGTAGTGAAAGTTGGTCGCTACAAAGTAATGATCAATGATTGCAGTTTTGAGTCAAACTATTCATCATCCATAATGAAATTATGAAGATTGTTTATAGTATTCAACATCAGTTCACTCAACATCAGTTGTGATGACAATGTGAAATGGGAAAAGGTTGTGTGAATTAGAAGTTGAGAAACTCAATTTTACTTCATCGCTACAATGCCTGTAATATGAGCTTAACGGACATTGATAGATTCCAGGAAAGGATACTGGAGTTTATGTTACTGAAACGATGTCAATTCATATCACCTTACAACTTGAAATGATTGGTGAAATAGTGCAAACAGTTGTCGAATCGGTAAAATGTGACAAACCAAATGAAACTCTGATTTTAAAGTAAAGTCATTAGTGAACTCACTGGGTAACCGGCCTAATCTCCAACCAATTTCGTTAGGTGTATTTCTAATTTTATTGACATACGAGCCTTGTTTTGTATTGAACGATTTGTAATAATTATCAGAAAGGGGTTTTGTGGCGATTTTAGTAATTTTATGTAGATGAGATCATGAGTCAGTTGAAGGTAGACCACCAAGGAAAACCTTGAAGCACTGGACAGCCATTTTGTCATATTGTGAGACTCCTCAACTCACTGACAACATTGGTGAATGTTTGCTCAATTTTGTGGATCGGTTGGAGTTACACATTAACACCTTTGGATGCCGACTAGCTCAGTTGTCTATCGGTTAAGTGCTCGCGAGCGAGACTGATAGGTCCTGGGTTGGGATCGTGGATGCGCACTTCTGAGGATTCTCACGATAGGACGAAACGGCCGTCTAGTGCTTCAGGTTTTCCATGGTGGTCTGGCTTCAATTGACTCATGATCTCAACTATATAAGATTTGTGATAAGTTGACAGATTCTTCATTTGAAATGAATACCACATGTGACAGCATTTATTTTGGTTGACAGAAATAGTTCAGTCATCTAGTACTATTGTAATGCAAACAATTTAACAATTCATTCTGAATGTGACAATCTTTTTCTCTTTGAAGATTCAACTTGCTGAAGGAAATGTTCAATCAACTCTTAATCTCGTTAAGAAATTGGTAGCTTTACGTCAACATCATAGTATGAAATGGGGAGCAATGGAGCAAATAAGTTTTGGTGAAGTAAGTGATTTCAAAGTTCACTTTTTCTTAGGTAGTTTGCCCACTCAACTACAGTGAGTTAATGCTTATAAGGAATATTCAGAGTCAACAATCGTATTATTCATTAATAGTTACCATGATAAATTACATGAGAGATAAGTGATTCTTTAACTCTGTTGATTCATTTCCTGATGTTGAATTTAACCATCATCTATTCGTTACATAACTATATATGGTATATACATCCATAAGATTTTTCCGGTTAGCGTTTTTTTAGAGATTTGGTTTTCTACGGGATAGGGATGCTAAACTCATGCCCAACCCTCCTCCTTTACCCGGGCTTGGGACCGGAATTAGCCCCCGGAGGAGCTACAGGCGGAGTTATTGACAATATTAAGTGAGAACCTCATGTCAGTGAACAACTTGTTTGGAGTTGTTTAGCTAAAGATTCATTATTCACTATGTTGAAACAATTGTTTTAATAAGTTAACTTATTCCAGGTGGTTATTTCATGAATAAATTAAGGAAAATGCCGTTCCTTTATTCATTATCGCCATTCAACATGAGGACTTGAAACAATACAAATTCTATCACATTGGACCAACAGACATAAAATAATGTCCGACCATGACTTTCACGAACGTAGCCCATGAAACGAGTTTATCAGTCTCACGGAACACAGCTTGTTGATAAGGTATAGGCAAAACTCACCTCATGGTCGTTTAATTAGTTTAACATGTTAGATAGATTGTAATGAAAAGTGGTTGGATAAACATCATCTTATTTTTGTAACTAATCTGTTGATCGTTTCCTCATTTAGATAGTATCTGATTACTGTACTCAGTAGGGATAGTCTCCTTGGCATATGTTTACCACATAGTTTGTTGTTAAGTGCACCACTGTTGACTCCATTCAAACTAAACACAGTTCATCTCATCGAACTATTTGAAATTCATTCCTTTCATCTTATCTATTAGTTTTCAAACTATGTTAATGCGTCATACTTCTCTTATTTGATGAATCTTAACTAACATGACTATGCAGGTGGATGTTAAAGTTGAGAAATATTTACCACTGTTATTTTAAGCGAAGAAACTTCATCATTATGAATTTCATTTCACTGACATGTACTGAATTCTTAAATAAATCAAGTGGTTTTTAAAACTGTTCAATAGCCAAGTTTATAAATTGTTTGAATGATTTAATTTTAGGGATCGTCGAGTCAGGTAGAAGCGTTTATACGAAAAGCAAAAGGATTTTCATCATTCATTGTAATAAAACTAAAGGATTTGATGGGGAATTATCTTTTGGATCTTACTCCATTTTGTTCATCAGTTACACCAAGAATAATTCATCCTTCGCATCCACATTTGTCAACGGATACTCCATTATCAACTTCAAAAATATACATTCCGATAACAGAAAAGTCAAACTACATTTTAGTATTTGAATGTGATTGATTCAATAAAGGTTCACCTTAGTTATTTCCCCTGATCAATATCTGATCTGGAATAATCACTTGTACTCTCATTCACTTTTTCAGTATAACTTTCTATGTTTATTTTGTTAGTGTACTGAATTTTATGTAAACTTTTCTGTCGTAACTGGTTTAATTTTATCACATATCTCTAATGTTATTGGAGATTGTTTATGTACAAAGAGTTGCTATGTGTCGTTGTTTTGTACCAGGTTTAAATGAATTCATACACTTTAATTATTTGCCGAAGTAAACAATTTTGTAGTTATTAGTTGCAAGAGTTCAATTATATACAACTCTTCTGGATTTTTGTAATCATTGCTTCTAATGAGTGCAATCCTACTTATAAAACCAACAATTTAACCAGTATAATTTCTATGTACAGTAGTATGAGCACGACAATAATCGATAGTATCATTCTATTATTACTACTTGTTCTTCCACTATTCCAACCTGTAGGTCACATTTTGTATTTGATTGATGGGATATTGTAGAGTTTTTGTTCTTTTGCTTGTATGTTTCGTTCCCAATATATCTGCACCTCGATCTACCTGTAGATGTATAAGGGAAAGATGTAAACGGGTTCTATGATTATTATCTGAGCGAATAACACTTGAAAATAGTTTGCACAATTTCATCAAGTTATCGATTCCTTAACTACTAACTTCTAAATGCCGATCACTAAATGGCAAGAGTTCTATCTTTAACTCCTTAACAAATAAGTGAATAATATGTATTTTTCTGACAGGACGGGTACATGCCATTTCCACGGACATGATCAATAATTCAAAACATTGGTTAACAGATAAAATGTTTATCAGGCAGGTTTGTTAAGTGGATTAAATCGGTGAAAATAAAAGATAGTACATTCCTCAAGTTGTGTCGGGGAGTTGAAAATTATGTTTGTGTGTTAGTAATATACTGTGAGTGCAGTTTTTATGATCTGTTTCAACAATGGCATAGAGTCCACGTTGTAACCTTTGGGAACACACATCACGTAAAATTTCCGCATTTGTGCGTTGGTTTAGTATCGTAATTTAGATCGATATTAGTGCATTTATCTTGGCTACCATAATGATGGACGTAATGTGAAAATTGTAGATATCTTGTGATGTGATTACATAATATATACGATCTTGTGTGGAAGTCACAGCATTGTCTGTTTTGGCTCGTCGTGTAGTGTAAATCGGAAACATGATGTCTAATAATTCTGAAGAACACCTTTGGGTTAAGAAGAGAGTAATGTATTCAGTACAAAAGCAAAATATTACGTTGAGGTACCACGCCCATATGGCCGAGTCATGACATCACCAATTATCCTCGTATTCATTATCATTAACTTTTTTCTCTGCGTTAAATGTTGAATGTGACTTTTATCAGTTGTCTTATATTCAGCTCTGAGTGTCGTGTGGTCAGAACCAATGCCTCAACATTAGAACTGAAACGGTGCTAAGCATTATTGCTGTATAATTGTTTTAAAGTTCATAATTAACTATTAAGGACTCTTGGCATGAACTGCGATCACGAAAGACACATTCATTAGGTTTGTTTCTGGCGTAAAACGCTACAAAACTATGAACTGGGAGTGTGGTGCTGAAAAAGGAAAACCTAATGGCAGCAAGACATTTTAATGTGAATTCTCAACAATGCATAGCGGTTTTTAATGGAAAAGACAACGATATGAAATATTAGTAGATAAAAATCACACTATCTGCTGTTACGAGAGAGAGATGTGGTTAGACTCTTATGATAAAAGAATACAGCAATAAAGAAAAATGACTCGTGATGTGTCACATGGTAGAACAGGTTCAAATGATAGAAGGAAAATCCAAGTTAGAATCGGAGAAAATGCTCAGTAAAATTGAAAGTGCATTTGAAAAATGAACAAGGTTAATAAACCCTAATGGCCATATCTTTCATTGCCTACTATTTTTTTATCATTCACCTCTTTTCATCTGATGCCAGTCAACAGGTTATAATGTAAGCGTCTGAGTTAGTATGTTACAGACTATCTTAGTAGAATAGTGAACCCAACATAACACTGGAAACGTAATTCTGAGAGGTGAGCGTTGGAATTGAGCCTCAGTAGTTCCGATTTATTGCGTCATACTCAATGATAAAGAGCTTGAAACAAAGAATATTCTTCACCACAAACATAGATGGATTAAAATCACCGGGCTCACCATCAATGCTTGGTGGTCAGTAACTCCACCCTCTTTCTCTTTATGATGTTCATCTCACTTCAGTTTATGTTTAGATGAAGTATTGTTTCGCTCGATGCTCTATGTTTCATATACTGTTGAAAAACACCATTACTATAAATAAAATTTAAAAGATTATCAAGCGGTTACAAACTATGGACTGTGGGTAAGGCATCGATGCAATGCTTTAACTGACTATTATATAAATTACGTATTCCTAAACAAAGTATAAGCATCTATAAGAGTGTGCTAGCAGAATAATGTTCACAATAATAGGCAGAAAAGTTTAGGAACACAAAGGTCATAGATAAGGCAATGGGTAATGAGATAAAATAATGGTAAGTCAACAAGGTGCTCGTGAAATTAGTAAAATGAGGAGAAATATACAACAAGGAACTACTATTTACTTGATGTTGTTTGTATTTTTTGCAATCCTAACCGGTTGATGGTGCTTGGATGGCCTCATATGCCAGCATGGTCGCTTTTGCGATGAGTTCCTTAATTGTAGAGAATGCATTTCTTGCCGTGTCGGCCAAGTTGCGTTTCCACGAAGTTAGTCAGTTAGTAGTTTCTTAAGGGATGCGCGTTTTGGTATGAACTGTCTAAAGAAAGTCAAAAGGCTGCTAAATGTGTGTAATTGCCTAATTGTGGTCGGTTCTGGGTAATCCAGAATGGTCTACACTTTGCTTTTCAGAAGTCGGATGCCTTGACAATCAAAAGTGTGTCCTGGGAAACCTAGTGAGTCAGTTCAAATTCGGCGTTTCTGAATGCTTACAATAATGCCATGCCTTTGCAGTCGTTCGAACACAGTGTATAGATGCTGGAAATGGGATTCTCTGTCCGGACTTACTATCAAGCAGTCATCAACATAAGCATGTACGAAGTAGAGACCTCGGAAAACGTCATCGTTGAACCTACAAAAAGTCTGGGCAGCATTTCCTAGGTTGAAAGGCATTCACAAATTTCGTTGAGTCTGAAGGGAGTAATGACAGCGGTTTTTGGAATATCCTCAGCGTCCATAGGGATTTCGTCATAAGCTTTGACGTAGTCGATTTGCCAAAAGACAGTTATACATACCAAGGCAGCTGACAAACCGTGAATATGGGCACCGGGTAACGATTGTGAATGGTTTTCTCGTTCAAACGCCGAGAGTCATTAGTTGGACACCAGTCTTTGATGTCCTTTTTAGGGACCATGTGCAAAAGCGATGCCCATGGGCTCTTTGACGGTCGAATTCCTTTTCGGCCAACCTCAGCTTTTCGGGAGCCATTCGGCATGGTTGTGAGAATACAGGTGGTCCTGTGGACGTGATGTGATGTGTAACATTTCTGATTACACACTGCAATTTTGGTTGCGTGTTTTATATCCCAGAGTGCTTATCGACCAATGGTTAATAGAATCGATATATTGTGTGCCCAATTGTGACTGCAGATAGCCTGCAACCGGAAAAAGAAGTAGAGCAAACAGACAATTTACTGTTTCCGCCCACTAGCCTCCGTTTGCCCGTATCGATGAGTAGGTTGTAGTGTTGGAAGAGGCCTATACCAATGATTGTCAGAGAAAAATCTGCAAGAATGAAGATCCAGTGAATGGGTTCACGTAAACAGACGTTAAGGTAAACGTACTTTTTACCATATGTGGCGATTAGCTTTCCGTTTGACGCCTATAAGTTTAAAACTGCTTTGTGAAGCTGGTGGTTAGAATTTGCAGGAAGAACGCTAACTTCTGCGCCAATATCGACGAGGTGGCAAACTTTGTGATCACATGTGTGACGCATAACCGACGGCTGCGTTCATCGGCTACGGCTGTCATTAACGCGTGCCAGCTGTGAAGTTTCCCGAATTGTTTATCGTGTCGGTCGATTACGGGTTCAGATAAATGCAAGGTTTTCTGTAATTTATGGAATAACTTTCATACTGGTTATGATACCATCAGCAGTCGAGGTTATCCGTCTCTCGTGGTCTGGTGACAGACTGCCTATGTGAGGTGCTTCTTCGCGCAGTATGTGACCGTTTGCGGTCACAACGAAATCTAAGATAACATGTAAGTGTATGACATAATTCCATAATTTCATTCTTAGTCGTTTAGGGTCTTTCTCTGCGCAACAGAACTAAGCTTTGATATTGTCCGGCCGATAGGGCATTAGCTGAAACGAGGGTGGTGTAAGTGTCTTGACCTTAAGTAGCTTAGGAGGCTGTTCCGTTATGGCGAATTCAAAGTATGGGGATGAACGAGGGAAAATTATACAAAAATACGAGAAAATATCACAATATATGAAAAGTAATGTAAAGCACTGATTTAAGAAGTTCCGAAATGGAACAAACTTATAGTTTATGGGTTGATGTACCAGACCACGTCGGGTTTGCCAATGACCCTGCCACAAGTATTCTAGCTTGACAACACATTAACCAGCAACACCTATAATTGGATCGTGCTCACCCGGTGAAATCAAAAGTCAGAAGAGAGGAGGTTGGAAGATATATTTGAAAGACCATCAATATATCGAGAATCGACTGATCTAGGCTGGCTAGTGATTGCAAAGGACGTTGAGCTCAACGTTCACACTCATGATCTGGTGCGGATGCATGACCGAGCGTTTTCAGCTAGGTGAGTCCAATAAAACTAATGCGGTCATCATCCAATGCAGAAGGCTTACAGAGCTCCTGATTTTGGGGATTTATGTGCCGCTACATTGGCCTTGGGTGAGGACAATGTTAAATGGTTCAAATGGTTGAGGACGGAATAGAAGAAGCTTTCGCTTAACGGGCTTCCGTGTCTAGTAGCAATGGATCACCAATACCTCCAGGCAAAAACCTAGGTTTATTAATGATAATAGAGGGAAAAAAGAATTTGGTAAATCATAATAATATGTTATCCTTAGTCCTTAAGAATAAGTCAAGTTTCCTCTTCAAGGACTCCTGGGAGGTCGCTTGGACTAGCTCAGTCGGCAGCGAATTCCAACACTTGACAACTCTAACGGAGTAGAAGTTGTGTCTGCAGTCTGTTCTGCTATGCAGAGTCTCCAATTTCTGGGTGTTACCTCTCAGGTTAGTGTTGTGACTAAGCTTAAGAAGATGTTTAAGGGGATGACCAGAAGTATTAAGGATACTATAAGTCATAAGAAGATCACCTCTAAGACGCCTGCACTCTAACGGGTAAAGGTTAAGTGATTTGAGGCGCTCTTCATAAGGTTTGAATTTGAGTCCCCGAACTGATTTCGTGGCTCGACGTTGTATACGTTCCAGAGTGTCCTTATCTTTTTGGAGGGAGGGAGGAAATACTATGTTTCCGTACTCTAAGTGGGGACGAATAAAACTGTTGAAGATTATATGCAAGGTTCTACCGTCAAACTGGCCAAAAATTCGCTTCAATGTTACCAGTGCAAGGTTTGCTCGACAGGCGTTTTTGTCACAGTTCGCATACGATTTCAGGTCGTAGGGTACCAACACTCCTAAATCTTTTTCAACTTGGGAAACTTCCAGAGGTGAGTTACCTAAGTTATAACTATAGTCTGCAACATGTTTCAGATGGACTACCTTGCACTTTGAAGTGTCGAAGGTAAGTCCGTTGTCGTCTGCCCAACTTTGAAGTCGGGTCAGATCCTTCTGAAGAACTAGCATATCATTATGACTACGTATCTCTCTCCAAAGTTTCACATCATCAGCAAAAAGCAATAAGTCAGATGAAACTTGTTGAGGAAGATCGCTAATGTAAATCAAGAAAGGAAGAGGTCCGAGTATTGAGCCCTGGGAGACCCCACTAGGACATTCCATAGCCTGAGAGACAGTGAAGTTAATCCTGACCTTAAAGTGTCGGTTTTCTAAATATGTAGAGAGCCAGTCAATCAAAGGGGGTTTTATACCCAATCGTCTTAGCTTCTTGATAAGACATACGTGGTTGACCCTATCAAAGGCTTTTGAGAAGTCCAGGTAGATGACGTCAACCTTCCCCTTGCAATCAAGAATGGTTGTCCATCTATCCACCTCAGTCAGCAGGTTGGTCATACAAGAATGACTTTTTCTGAAACCATGCTGTTGAGGCGAGAAGAACTTTGAGGATGATAAGTATTCTAGTATACAGTCGTATATTAGGGATTTCATAATTTTGGAAGGTATGGAGAGAAGGGCCACTGGTCGGTAACTTGAGGGTTCACTGCGTCGACCTCCTTTGAAAATTGGTGTGATGTGGGCCAGCTTCCGAATTCCCGGTAGTTTTCCTCTGCTTAGGGAGTGTGCAAACATCACGCTAAGTGGTGTCGCCAGGATTGATGCTGCTTCTCTCAAAACAGCGGAATGAACCATATCCGGACCAGGAGAAGTGTCTTTTCTTATATATAAGTTATAAGTGGATCAGGTGAGATTTTGAGTACGCCGAATCGGGGGATCAAATGTGAACTAAGCCTTCCTTTCCAGAGAGGCCCAAGTGCAAGAATACGGCTTCGGGAACTATATTTGATGAGTCTTCAGTCTTCAGTCTTCAGTAATAAGGATAGAAGGTCTAGTGACCTATTTTAATCCTTGCAGTTTGTTACACTGTGGAGGTCCAATCTCGTCTTGAATATATCAACAGAAGGTGCTGGTATTACGTGTTCTGGTAGAGAATTCCAGTAATTCACTACTCGGTGCGAGAAACGAAACTCCAGACGCAGACGATTTGATCTCGGTTTTTGGACTTTCTTTGAATGTCCTCTCAAATGCTCAGCCCTAGATGGGAGGAAAAGATAGGACATGTTAGTACCAAGGTCATCGTTCAGGATACGATATGCCAATATTAGATCACCCCGTATTCGCCGGTAAGATTACGGAAATAAGTTGAGGTGTCTCAGTCTGTCTTCATAATATAGGTTAGATAAGCCTTTTACCATTTTTGTCCCGCGGCGTTGGACTCGTTCCAACATATCCGCCTCATATTTGAAACAAGGACTCGCTGCTTGAATCCCATATTCCAAATGTGGCCGTACGAAAGTTGGGTATAATAATCTAAACATTTCCCCATCCAGATACCGGAAAGATCTACGAATAGACCATAATGCCCTATAGTCTTTTGCAGCAGCAGCCTTACAGTGACTGCTTGTTTTGAGATCATTACTTAGTATGACTCCTAAATCTTTATAGTTTCTTACTTTGGGCAACACTAGACCACATATTGTGTAGTGATACGAATCATCGTAGTTATTTAATTGCATGACTACACTTTTATTAGGGTTTACTTCTAGTGACCACCCGTTCATCCATGCCACTAATTAGTTAAGATCTTCCTGTAAAACTATTCTGTCTGACATACTATATATGGGTCTCCAAATCTTAATGTTATCGGCGAATAGTAGGACGGATGACCATTTCTTGCCAAACTTAACGGATTTTCTTGTATCAAAAGTGATGGTATTCCATCACTTCTCTGAGTTCGCCTCTTTATATACGAGAATAACCGTTTTGGACTATGTTTGCAATCCCTAACCAATTGTTTTTCGTATGACCGTCTAGTTCTACTAATTAACGCTTTACAATTATTTCTAATCTTATGATGACTAGATCTGTACTGTTCTAAGCCAGTAGAGATGAACATGTTCCAGTGTTTTTTTCTACGCCTAAGGAGTTTCTTAACTTCTTTATTTATCCACGATGGACTATTGTTCGGTCTTAGTGGCACTAAGTATGGTATAAACGGGGACGTGACTGCACTAAACTTGCCTTTAAATACAGACCACGCCTCATCAACTGATGAGCTAGTATCTACTGACCAATCTATCTTAGTAGCACAATCCTGAATTTCTGGTATGTTAGCTCTCCATATGTTTGGGCGAGGCTTAATCTGATCGTATATCATATCGCTAGCTCTAAACGTGAATGATAAAACAGCGTGATCGCTATTTACTAACGGGGGAAGAATATTTAGGTTAGCAATATCCTCAGTCTCATGGGTAATTACCAAGTCCAACAGAGAAGAACCTTGGTTTACACCGAAACGTGTAGGTTTGGATACATGTTGTACTAATGCATGTTCCATTACTGTTTCCAAGAGCCTGCTATCAAATGAGTTTATAGAGCATTTCGTGGTCATCTCAGTCCAACTAATCTCAGGTGCATTAAAGTCTCCTAGTATCAAGCATCTGTTATTTGCACTCCATAGCCGAATGTGCTCTAAAATAAAGTCATCAGCTAAGCAGATTGGGCTGCGATAGATGACACCGAGTGCAAATGTACAACATCCGACAGTGAATTCACAGCTAATGACTTCACTAGTTCCACTATCATGGGATTCGCAAACGGAGGAGCGGATATTTATACTATTGGCTATGTATAGAAGGACGCCACCTCCTTTCCTGCATCTATGTCTATCACTTCTTAAACAATGATATCCGGATAAGTCTGGGGTGATATCGAAGTCATGGACTAACCAAGTTTCCGTCACAGCTACAATGAGTGGCCTTAATTCGTCCACTAATGTTCCTAGCTCGTAGAATTTATGTTTTAGACTACGGGCGTTGGGATATAAAACTCCTAGGGGGAACGACCTATCCACACAGGCCTTGGTAGCATTCGCTTCCAAGACCTGACTATTCGAAAACCCACCAATCGGAGATTTTCTTCACCGTTTTGTCGACGGGTTTCTAGTTCAGCTAGTTCCGTCTTCCTTTTTATTCTATCTTCAAGAGACACATCCGGTCGCATTCGAATGTCAGAGTAGTCGTGACTTTGAGCGTTACTTAACAGAAGATTGCGTTGTTTCTCCGACCCTAAGATTACCTTAAGGAGTCTACACGGTCGGGGTAGAACACTGTCATCGGCTCTTTTACCTATTCTAACTAATTTTTTGACCTGAACATCTTTAGTGTTATCTGGTAATATGCTACGGATATATTCTCCGAGCCTCTCTAAGTCATGGGTGTGTCTAACCTTAGGATCTGGATCGTTAGACTCTGGCAATTTACTCACAATAATATTCAATGATATTAAATTCCTCTCAGTCGCACTAGGATGATGATCTGCCGTTCTATCAGAGTGCGATAATGCATTGAGTGACTCAAACTGTGAGTTCATCAATGGCTTGTCAACCAAGTGTGCTTTATCATTAGCTTTTTTTCCTTTTCTTTTCCTTTTTACTGTGGTCCATTTTTGGTCATTCAGGACAGCTGCATTGGGACTATTGGGGACGGTGACGGTTTTATCCGGGTCCTCAATTTCTACTAAAGATACATGATTACTCATGTCAATACCATGTGGTGATTTACTCCTCGTTTGTTGTAACGTAAGTTTCACTTTGTCATTAATTAGAGTAGGTTGTTCAGTGCGTTTTGTAACAGCACTTACAACACTGACACAGTCTTCACTGTCAGTGCTTGCGTTACTAGCGCACCCACTATCTTTCTTTTTACAGGCTAGAGCCAATAGGCTCATAGCCTCTTGAATTAATGTCGCCTTGTTAGTACAGCAGAACGTACAAAGCCAGTGCGAGTTAGGCTTAGAACATCTTTTGTATGCAGCTGGACTGAGACGGGTACACATCTTGTGGTACCATTTTTTGCATTCATCGCACTGCATCCCTTCATCTACGGGGAATAAACAGTTCGGCTGTCCACATTTGAATGAACTACCAACCATTGTAATCAGATTAGGTTTAAAAAACATTATGATCACAATAATAGCACAAGCGTCAGAGTATATGCAAAAGAAGGAACCACGAGACAAAGTTTTCAATAAAATTTCAAACCTTAACTGGATTAATTCAAGTTAAAGTAGGCCAAGAATGCTTTTGATACAGTAAATACACAAAAGCAACGATAATCACAACAAGTATGAAAGTCACTGCCCTTTTTGAAACGCGCGCAAAAGTGAGTGAATTAGTTTTAAGCATATAGCTAGTGAAATACCATGTATTCCTCCCAACCTCAATATATCAGATAGACGTGAGTTGAAAAATGAGAACGGACAGCACTCAGTGATCGGTCTTAAACATTTCTTGTACCTAACTCTGACTTTACAGTTATGCTACGGTTTTAGGAGTTTTCAAAACTCGCGCGGCGAGTGGCTTATTTAAGATGAGTTGTACAGTTAGGGGGAAGCCAAAGTCAGGCCGTACTTGGAAAACAGTTCGTACCGCAAAGTAAGCACACTTTTTGCTTGGGCAACACTAAACTTGTCATGTTTCAAATGTCCTATCATCTCTTTTCTCATAACTTTGTGCCAGTTGATGCAAAGTGGATTTAACTGAATCAACCTATTTTGGGGAAGGTTTTTTCCGTTTTGGGTAAATTTTAGGAAGACTGCAATAGAAAACCTCTGAAAAGTTTTGAGGAAGTGGCACAAAACCCACGAGATTTCCACAGACCTGAGGATAATTTCTAATTGTTAGGGGAAATCCCCAAAATGTTTAGGGAAACTTGGTTTAATGAGAGCTCACGAGATGCTTGAAACTACCAGTTGATGATTTAGTGACGTCGTTAAAAAAACGATCATGTTTATACCAAAACTTCCATCATTTAACTGCTAGTATTAAGTGCTTCATTATTCTGTAGTCCTGATTGCTATTTTTCCCCATTCCGTTTCAGTTATCTGGGTCTGCTATCGTTTTTTATCCCTCGTAAAATTCGTTTTCTGTTATTCTTAAATATGGAGAGTTACACGCTAACATTTTTGTCGGCTTATATATTGCTTTCTGCTTGATTCCCCCATCTTCTTAGTCATACTGGGCTGGTCACTAAACGTTTCTTTGGGGTTATTGTAAAACTCGTTTAAATTAATAAAATCGGTCCACGATATGGTTCCAATTGGTCATCTGTGTATTTATTAACCCTTAGTTGCATCATATTGCGAAACAATTCACTTTATCAAAATATTGTAGAAATGATTGATAGTTTCTAAACATATTTGTATTATTTAACTACTAGTTTACACAAATAAATCAAAGCTATTCGATTAGTGGCGATTTTTCCTCTCGAGAACAATGGTATGACTAACAAATTCAAGTATATCCGGGGTGGTGACAATTGTTCATCGATTTGACAAAAATTGGCTATTAAATTCTAACAGTAGTGTATACACTGTTGGTTCGAAGGTCCTAAATACCAAAATGCGTAAACGTATCACTAACTAAAAGTCAAGCGGCTGGTTCTGGTTATTGGCTTTCATTGCTTTTTAGATTGGTGTTAATAAGTTTTTAATAACTTGCTTGGTGGGACAAAACAATCAGTTCCAGCACTTTCATAGCCTTCAATCCGAAAAGTTCACCCATAAAGTCTGGAGGTTAATCCACAATTCGAACCGGCATCCACTCATTTCGTAAACTGCTACTAAATCTTAATCCATTCATTCTTATTTTTAATCATATTTCTCACGTTATCATATGTAGTTACTTGGTATGCTCATTGTGTCTCCCAACTGCCTAATTGGGTGGAGATTTATAATGCTGCATAGCGAACTGTTCATATTTCCTGAAAAAATTAGCACTTAGTCTCTTTAGTTAACCATTGTATTCACTAATTGAAAAAATATCAAAAGCGACCAGATATCTTTGAATAAGCATATATCGCAGCCGAAACGGAATTTTTGTGTTACTTACCTAAAGTTTGATAGGGATAAAAATGAATCAACCAGCTCTTAAATAGTGTAGACTAGTGAGTACCAAACAGCTTTTTGTCTAGATCTTGCTCATGAATTTCCCGTCAGTTACCCTACTACCTGAATAAATAAAGTGGTCTGTATGATCATATGCTCTATTCTTTATTTCTGAAATATGCGTTGATACAGATCAATCCAATAAATCTTACACTTTTAAATGCGAAACATGTCCTAAACTAGATCAAATTTCTTCCCAAGACCCCTGTTATTATCAGCTTTTTTGAATGACAAAAACATGTCTATTGCTTCGTGTCATTAGATAGATCACCAAACTAAAAACATTGTCCATGACAAAGTAAAGCTAACATAAATACAATAAATACTTAAAAATCTTTCTTTGATTGGTTTGTTTATATACGCTACGTACCCCAGTAGATGTTGATTTTGACAAGAAAATCCTAAAGAATTTTGTAACAAAATTTTTCCTCACAAGTTTATGACTTTTTATTGACTTAAAAACATCATTATATAGTAATTAAATAGATGTGATTATCTAAGTATTGTATCAATACAATACCAAAATCTTATGTTTGAAGACTCAGCATATATGTATTGTAATTATTGTGAAGGCAGTTAATAGCTAAAGCAATTAACTATCAACCACTGTGTCGAATGTAGAAGCTCCACTTCACAAACTTCTGTCTGAGTAGTCAAGTGTTATCACCGGACTTTTATTCTTGTTTAGGATATAAATATTAAAATAACTATGCTCCACACATTAGTAAGGAAATTTAATCATGAAGAGATAGGAAATAATACAGTCGAAAGGAAACAGCCCTTACAGAAAAATTAATCAACCAAGTGTATGAATATGTACTCTTTATGTCATATCAAGAACTGGTGATTATCATTCTCCATTATTTTTATACTTTCTTTTGGGATTTCGCATTTTAATGAAGTAAGGATGATAACGAGAGCTGTATAAATTTAAATAAAAAGAACTAATTGTATGATTTTTTTTGCATTTTAGACTTAACCTTACGTTGTTATTACTGTTAATGTATTTATTATCTTAACAAACTAAAATCAATTCGTTAGCGATTTAAATTTATTTAGGACTTACTGTACACGTACTAATTTTCACTAAAGTAGCTCCAGCTCTCCTTCAATAATTTCTTCAAACCCCTAATCTTTTGGATTTCTGATTATACTCCTACTACTTCTACCACTATGGGATTTGAATCGACAACTGCATCTCTGTGCTAATGTGGTATGGCAACTCGAACTGATGTACATACGTACGAAGTTCTACGTTGTGACTGACTGACTGAAAGTAGTTCCAGCTAGTACTAACAAAACTTTTTAGTTGAATTCAATGCTGAAATTTCAGTCAATTATTTATTTGAACACATAAATATTGGTACAAACGGGTGCCAGATACATATGCGCCACACAAATCATTTGAGATTTGTGTGAGGGCTATCATACTGCTCAGGTACCCAAATCGAAGCAGGTGGTCTTCTTAGGGGACCACACTCGGAGCCTTTGACCTAAAGGTCTGATCCACAAGGCAGTGGAGCATCGTGAGGAGATGCAGTCCCATGGTAACCGGTAACCAACGATTGGTCAATACGCCATTTGTTCCTTGAGGATACTGGAGCCCATGTGCACCATTGGTTTGGAATCAGGGTTTTCCAACTCACCTATGTGGATTTCCGTGTCCACCAACTCGGCTAAAGCGCCGGACATTCGCTATTCTTCCTCTCAATTTCGTAAACACCCCCGACGCGAGAAGGCAAAGAGTAGGACTTCCCTAGTAGTGGCTATATACTGATGGCCATATTAGAGCATTTGGAGAGGGAGAGCGGACTCTCCCCACTCTCGGCCGTACCAGGGCATTTGGGGGCCAAAAAATTCAGTCATATAGTGTATCAAATCAAAAAAGCAAACTCATTGTACTCTTTCCTAATTTTGTGATGAAAATGTTATTTTTCATACATTTATTCATTTAGACATAGTGCGATTAAGAAGGACAAAGGTATACGTACCTCATTTCAGACTCGTAGAAAAATTGAAGCAGAAATAAAAAAAATTCGTAATGAATCAATTGAAAGAAAAAAAGCTAAAAATGAATTAAAAAAAGCTAAACGTTTAAAAGAAGAAGAGAAACGTCAACGGAAATTAGAAAATGAACGTCGTTCCGAAATTGTTGTACCGGTTAGTTGTTAATACACTTCAATTGTTATACAATATTTTATAGATAACAAATCCTGCAAAAATAAAACGTTTACGAAAAAAACAAATGCGAACCATTGTAACACGATAAAAAGAAGATTATTTTTGTTATGATAAACTTCCAAATATATATACCTTTTTGTATTTTTGTTTGACGTCCTGGTGATACGTACTATAGGACTGATCCCTAGAAGTCCACGTGACTATCGTAACCAATTGTTGGAGACTCTAGGTGACATGGCTCAGAATCGATCACAATGGCGTAGGTGTATACACTCTTTATCTTCCCTTAAACTGTGAGATTAAAATTGCTTCATAACGTTCTTCCTTCCTATACTATATCCTTATATACAACCTTTCTTTTATATATTACCACCACCACTACATTAACTACCTCTATAAATTTGGTGTTGATCTTGTTGTGCTAACGAGGTATGGCAACTTGGACCAATGCATATGTTTGCCTGGTCCTACGTTGTAGCTGACTGACTGTATTTTTTGTTTGTTTGTGGATAAATTGGGACTGAGTTATCAACTAAATAATGCCGTAGTCTCTTAATTGGTATATTGAATACTACAACCTGTGGTCAAAATACACAGATCGAGTTCATATCGTCTGTTAAACAAATGTTTGTCTCATCTGAATGACGTGTTTAAGTGTTTTATAGCTCTTTATATATATATATTTTTAAGATGACTGATTTCTTAAACTTGTACGGTTTGATCGTTATTTTCGGTACCATTAACACCCTTCAAGAGAAAGTAATTAAAACCAAGAGGTTTGAATTTTTCTTCTATTCTGGTGTACTCGTCTTCACATTCATTATCATCAGTTCCATCGTCTTCTGGTCAATTTTTTTACAGTTAGTTATAATGTTGACTACAGATAATGTAGTCACATACTTACATCTTGGTTTAATTGGCCGGGTTATAAAATTCTTCCCGACCGTAACTGCTAACTTAACGTGGTGTTCGTGCCTGCCTATTGTAATGACTCAAACGAGCTATACTTGCTGAAACACATGTCCCTTCGTGTCCTGCCATGCCAAGCAGGTAGGTAGGAGGACAGTTAGACTAAAATGAGGAACTTAAAGTTTGAGGGCAAAGTCGCACTGCTGACTATAAAGCATTGTGATAGCAGTAAGACGTTTTCGCCGGTCAAACAGCATCTGTGATGATGCTGTCTTCTTCTAGTGGAGGGAAAGGGTTACGCATTTTCAACCCTAAGTTTGTCACACCTCACTTTGACCTACAGATTACTGTCTCATGCGACAAAGCCTTTTAAAGCGCTAAAATAGCATCAGAAACTTCCCATGAGAAGGCCGCATGTGACTGGCCCCAACCAGTTGTCCCTTGGTGTCTGTGGTCACGAAGGTCAACTCTTGCCCAGCTTTCTTTTTAGGCCTCTCAGACAGAGAGATATCCTTCGTCGGTGTGGACAGTTTGGGAGTTACAACCGCCCTCTAACAGCACTCGAGATCATCTCGTTCATGATCAAATCCCTCCCTCCCTGATATTTCTCGTATACCCACGACTAGCCCTTCTAACATGTCTTTATCATCACACGCCACCAATCCTAATAATGTGAGTCCACAAAGTGTTATTCCTGGTCTGAAACTACGCTGTAAACAATATGGGTCTTTTAATTTTCGGACCTGTCCAATTGCATGACAATGCCTTATCTTGTAATCTAGGGCCTAGTACCACCGATATGCGCTGCGTCTCGCAAACACGCATATAGGATTCAAATATAATAATTTAATCGACCTCACCTTGTCAGCATAAAGAAACTATGCTACTTACCCGTCGTGTATTAGGAGACGGCACTGCTACTCCCTATGGTCTCGTTGGTGTATATATAGTATTAAGTTCAAAAACAGCAGGCTCTGCTGGACTGGATCCTAAAAGGCAGACTTGTGTGCTGTTCGACTAAACGAGATAGTAGGAATTTGAAAAAATAGAGACACACGCCGTCGCATCTGTCTGTGCTCCCGATTATTGTTGTTCGCATGAATCAAAAGATATAAAGCTTTCTAACTTTCAAAAAGCCACTCTCTCAGACTCAGTAATGGAGGTGGGTGATTTTAATTCCCAAGTAGGTAAACCAAAGAAAACTTAACGTCTCTTAGGTGAATCTTACGGCGTCTTAGCTCAGCAGACAGATAATAGTAACCGTTTATTGCAACTATGCCGAGATAAATTTCCAGTCTTAGCAAGCACCAACTTTAAATATAAGATAGAACATCGTCTAACTTAGCAATGCTGAATAATGTTGGGAATGGTTGGAAGAAAGTTAGGAGGGCGACCAAACCAAAACGTGGCATCAGTGCTTGAAGTCACTAACTTCTAGTCTCAGCCATGATGGTAGGTGCAGATTACTTGGTTGGGGTCTGCGCGACTATCGTAACCAGTAGTGGTCGGAGACTGTGTCACATGGTCCATAATCGATTACAAAGTTGTAGGTGTATACACACTTTGTCTTCACTTAAACTGAGATTAAATTTGATGTTATACCTCTCTTTCTACGAACTAGTTCTTTCTCCCTGTATAATCCGTATACACAATTTTTTATATATTACTACCATTGAAGTAACTACTATGAATTCTGTGTTCATCTTATTGTGCTAGTGAGGTATGGCAACTTGGACAGATGCATATATGTGCTTGGTCATACGCTGTAGCTGATTGGCTCAAATAGTTCATATAGACATGAGCAATTGTTGTAGAGATTCTATATGGTACTGTCGTTCATTGTGTAGCGTATGTTTAAACTTGGATGATGCTCCAGTACGACCATGCACGTGTATGGTCATAAAAAAGCCACATAGAGAAGACCCTTTAGAGTTCAACCTAATGATAAAATCAAAAATATATCAACCATGAAGCTGATATCCACCCTGAAATAGGTTTTTATGACATCCAAAAAGCTGCGGAAACAGCAGTGGTATTTACTACTAACTTGAACTAAAAGGTTTAGAAAAATCATTAAAATGTCTACTGAATCGATGGATACTCAAGAGCTCGCCCCGTCTGGTTCCGGACACGATGAACAGAGGCAGTATAAACGTAAGTTGGTGAATAGCCCACTTAATGGTCGTGAGCATCGCTGGTTAGCCAATCCAGGAAATATGGCAAAGGCAGCGATGGTGGGTAGCAGTAAACAACTGTTAAGACTTATCAAGGAGACGGGTATTAAAAATACGGTCGTTAGCGAGAATATCTTGGGAAATGTTGAGACCATTATTCACTCAATTCAGGAGATTGAACCTATGAACAGAACAATAGGGAACAGTTCAACTGGCCCTCAGTCATACTTTAGTTAACCACCATCTTCAAGCAACCTAAATGGCAAACTGATGTAAGTCCTCCAACTCTTGGTAAGATTGAAAAGGTCATAAGCAATCTAAAGCGAGAGAGAGAAGCAGGGCTTGATTTACTATTTCCCGAAATTTTTAAGGACAGTGATCCAGTTTTAGCAATTAAATTATCTGTGATCTTAGCTAGAATCTGGTAGCTAAACGTAATCCCGTCTGACTGGTCTGTATCGCCTGTCCTCTCAGTCCATAAGAAAAAGCAAAAATCCTGTTGTGACAGTCATAGGAATCCGTTTAACCAATATAATGTTCAAAGTATGAGCCTCAATACTTGACATCTATCTCGAGCTTGTGAAGAGCAAGTCCTAGGAAACCAGGCTGGTTTTAGACCTGGACGTGGATGTATGGACCAGATATTCACCTTTCAATAGGTTTTTAAATATAGACATGTTTTTCGACGTCCGGCTGTAAGTGTATTCCTTGACCTCAAGGCGGTTCCATCGATCATGAGGTTCTATAGCATCGTCTGTCATTGAAAAGCGTACCAAAGAAGTACGTCAAACTTGTACTTGAAAACTGCTGGTTGCTCCAGAGCTTATGGAGAACTTGTCATAATTAGTGACTTCAAGTGATGTTTATCAGGGGTGTATGGTTTCCTCATTCTTATTTGTTATGGCATGCTTTTAGAGATAACACATCAGTTGTTTGTCTGAATTGTTGAGTGAGTTTATATAGGTACAATTATTTAATAAGATAAAATATACAAACATACTGATAGTCACATATATGTAAATTGAACATGGATAAAAAATTATAATCAATCATATGGATAAGTGTAAAATCATTAATACGATTAGCATAAGAGATTGTATTTTCACATGAATATTTGACTTTACACCATATTTTATTAAGCTTGTGCAAATTTGTAATTCCAATTCATAGCATGACGTCTATTATGGATTAACATATACTGCCTATAGTCAAGGTGAATAACATTAAGCTGCTACAGGGTAACGAGGAGAAGCATCAGTTCTGTCAAGATTGCAAATGCTCACTACGAACTAGATAAACATGATACGAGTTACTAAATTATGACTAATTAGTATAGACTTGATCTCATGGTATTGTACTAGGCCCAGTAAAATTTACACTTCGTAAGATTATCATTATGGTGAAATATGTTATAAATGATATATTTAGGAAAAGCATTTAAGTTCAAACCTGATATTTTAGATTCTAAAGGTAGAAAAGTGGAATTCTTTCACAATTGATTGATCACTAGGTGGTGATCAATGTCATGCGTGTCAAGTCCTTCTTAGTACTGATCGAATGCTATGGATCAAGTTGCAATGTGGCCACTAGTCAGGTACACCTTGCTGACGAGTGCCAAGTAGCCTGGGTCCAGGGTTTCCTGTTGACCACCTCCAACCACCAGCTGAACTGGAATTCTTTGTTAGTTGTTGTATGGTGTGCTTCTGTATATCCCTAGTTATCTCTTAAATGTCAAGTGAAGATGAATTTATTACCTTTAACATTAGTAGTAGTTTCCAAGATTTGTTTACTGAATGAAAAAACCTGTCCTTCATATGAATTAAATGCCTTCTTGACTTTTGAACTCCTCTTCTATGACCTGAGTTGAGTCGAAATGATCTAGTTTAACAAAAAGAAGGTATTATCAAATCGAAAATCACTTCTTAGTATCCTATACATGATGATTAAGTTACCTCTTAATCTTTAATGGGATAATATAAACTGATCTCATTACTGAGGTCGTTCA